CCGCCCCCCCGTATGTTTTTCTCGCCGTCCATGCTACGCAAAACCTGCCGCCATTGGCTGACCGGAAACATCGCCCTCCTACATGGCGATGACAATGGCAATTCAACAGCTCAAGGGCGACCTGTGTGGTCACGGCTATGCGGCGGGTCCCGGGGCAGCCGACGACGACGACTTTGAAGGCGAAGGCGACGCCTCCGATAGCAGGGAGTGGAAACCCGAGGTCTGTTTCACGGCCACCGATGTGGAGTACGGGGGGAGGGTGGTGGACCTCACCGCGAACATCACCAGGGGGGCGCTGGAGAAGATCCCCGGGCGCGAGGGGATGTGGAGGGTGCCACACAACGTCAAGGTGCGTGGCGATCGTGGCGCGCGAGAGCTTGGGTTGGGTAAATACTGTGTAGAGAGTGTGTGGGAGGGCGAGTGGTACGGAGTACTTGATCCAGTCTTCGTGCAGCGGTACGAAGGTAGTGTTTTTAAGTTGAGTGTTTGTTTTCGTTTTCATGCAGAAGTCGCCACTTTGCACCCGTGTGCGGAGCTTGTGGGCTTTTCGTCTCTACTGCTGGACCGATTCTACGTCCCCAAAATGGCAGAAACAGGGGGCATTGTGGTCGCAGAAAACGCACAGAAGGGAGAGCGTCATGTTGTGTTCGGACGACTGCCCCAACCTACCCCCCCAGCGCCTCTCCTCAATCTCAATCTGCTTGAGCCTCTCTGGCCGTCTCTGTCTCCCACCCCGTCCACATGTTCATCTCTAACTTTTTCCCGCCCATCTCTCCTTGTCCAACCCTCCCCCCCACAGGACGCCTCTGGTAACTCGGCGAAGGTGTTCTACTACAAAATTGCCGTCGAAGAGGTGGACGTCCTGGAGTCCCTCCAAGGCTCGGCGGAGATCCTCCATCAAGAAATGTCCGAGCTCTTCTTGATGCGGTGAGTTTTTTCGTCCTACGGTGTTGTTGCTGCTGATGCTACTGCTGCTGCTGTCGCTCGCAAGTGCACCGCTTGGTCCGAATAGAAGATACATGTATTGCTCCCCCCCCAAGAGAAAGGTGTCGTGGTTCCCCTCTCCCTCCCGCCGATCCTGAAAAGCGACCATGCGGTGTTGTCTAGCCTGCAGGAGGGATGTTTTGTTTTGGTTTTGTTAGGTGCTTCTGGGAGACTCGACACGTCCATACTTCGTGTATACGTTCAACGTACGCGATCCATTCCGGTTTGTGTGGTCGGGATGAAATTGTCGCTAGGTAGAGACCGCGCTGTTCCTTGGTTTTGTACCTCTCGTTCTCCAGATCCGAGTCGCCTTCAAGCCGAAGTACGAGCCGGGTGCGGTTGTGGGTGCGGGGGTTGCAGAGCGTACCCCTTGTACCGTGTCCTCCGTCGTCACGACTGCCAAAAGAAACTTGTGTCCTCTCCTTGAAGTGTATGTCCCGCGGCCATTTTTTCTCGTGACAACATTCGACTCGTTTCTTCCCTCTCTCTCTCTGTCTGTCTGTCTGTCTGTCTCTCTCTCTCTCTCTCTCTCTCTCTCTCTCTCTCTCTCTCTCTCTCTCTCTNAACGTCATACAACCGTCGTCGCGTTCTAAATCGTTCCTGTTACGCCACGCGACTACCGATGTCCTGCGATGCAGGATTGCCGTCGCCGCCCTCCTGGTGCTGCTGCTGTTCCCCCTGGTGTGGAGGGTGCTCATGTTCGTCCGGGTTGTGTTGGCTGCGGCGAAGGTGGTCTTCTTCCCCTACTCGATGATCAGCTCCAGGGAGGACTTCAAGCTGGGGTGAGTTGAGACCCATGCTCAACACGAATGGGAGGGAGTTGGGGGGTGCGAGAGGGGTGAAGGAAACAAGGAGTACGGCGGTGGCGGCAATGCGAGAGAGACAGCAGCGGAGATGAGAGATGTAGCGTGAAAGAGGCGACGAGATTGGATGAAAATCGCACAGAAGTACCACGCGGACATAACACTTGAGGCGGCGAGTAGGATAGAGGAGGAGTGAGGGTTAACGCTGGATGCGCCGTACAAAAGCTACCGAGGATTAATGTCTTCCCTCCCCCCCCCAAACCAAGGAGACCCACCACTCCAGGCCCCCTGTGTCTGTCCTCTCCAGGAAGCCCCCCCCCCCCCCCCCCCCCCCCCCCCCCCCC